CAAACTTTTTAAGTACATGCTCATTTCAGCCAAGCCTTGAAAACGGCATTTATGTAGAAATTTTTCATCCCACTTATAGCCGAGAGCTTAACCATCTGTGCCAGAATCCTATAATCTATACAGCTCGCTACAAGTTGTAGTTTGTTGTCTTTTGCTCCAGTAATATGAGCAACAGATTCACTGAACTATATTCAAGAGCTTTTCAAACCGTGGTATTTTGGTAACCTAAGATTGAAAGCGAAATACAATTTTCAGGGAATTTTCGTGCTGCATGTAAAACCATGCATGTTGATTTTTTGTTAACCGAATAATTTAATCAAGTACCCGTGTCAACATCATATTCTCTCGCCAAAGCCCAGTCCTGTCAGATTATCAACCAAAATTTCAATTGGTGCTTTTGTTCGTATTTTCGTTTAGTTCTTTTGTTAAAGCAACATTTGGTGCTTTTGTTCGTATTTTCATCTAATTCCTCTAGGGCAATTTCATTTCACATTTGTATTTTGTTAAAATACCTTTCTGCCATTTTGTTTGTTTTGGGAAAATCATTAATTGTACTGCAGTGCAATTAATGAAATAATTGCATGTACTCCTCTCAACCAATCAGCATCCAGTAATTTTGTCATGCTAATAATGAATAAATAGTTGAAAAGCATTTTTATATTGTATGACTATAAGTTACTTTAATGTTTTCCATGCACTGCATTACTTTACCGACAGTATACTCAGGGAGGTTGGAACAATAAAAGGAACACGTCGAGTCGAATCTAAGAATGGTCCGACCGATCGTAAGATGCATGCATATCATGATATCATTCGTCAAGTTAGCACAAATGTACCGAGAGGAAATTTTTCAGACAAGAAAGTTTTGCGGTTGTAATTTTTTTCTTCTATAATTTTGAATTATAACTACAATTTGCTATATAACCAAGTTTTTCGTATGGAGTATTTTTTCATCTCAATTTATATTCTAGAGGCTGATATGTCTAAATGATAATGATGTTTGAGATTATAACAAATCATTTTCTTTCATTGAAATATTGCCGAATTGGAGAAATCCTTGCCTTGTTCCAGCGTCCTTGCATATAAAATTTAAATATAAAATATGACTTTAGATAAGAGATAACACTAAACTTGCTCGCATTTACGAGAGACAAAATCGATAGGGAATTGAGAAGATGTTTTGCTTTTTTACTGCATCTTATTACTCTCACCTTATAACGCTCAATTTTTGAAGAGTTGCGTAAATGCGAACCGGTTTGGTGGCCACATTGTTTTGTCGCATCTCTATTTCATCCAATATATACTGCATTAAAAACTATGTAAAATAAAAACAACATGTTTGGCATTTGAAAGATAGATACAAAAATCCTTCTGTAATAATTACGATGCTAGACTTTTCAATATTTCACAATTGTCCTGGGCTCATTTCACTCTGCGATTTTTGGGGCAATTTCAGGATGATGTTATATTTAATGACGAGTATTTTCAAATATTATTGTGGAGTGTAGAGTGGTCCACACAAATCGCAATGTGTAACGTGGGCTCAACTTTGAAGAAATTTTGTATTCTATGTACGAAGAAAATTAATTGATTAAGTTTCTGAAGTTTCATATTTTAGTAGTGGTCGCTATTCAGAAAAAACATGGAAAATTGTATTTTGAAAACCACTGACTCATCACTTAACGTACGAAACAGTTTGTTTTTCGAGTTGTTATATCACAATAGTGTCAGATGACATGCATGTTAAAAATACACGTTAGGTGTTTGTGATGTTAGTCTGAGTGTACAAACATCGTATTCACCTGAGTACGCATAACACCAACACAAAAAAAACACGTTAGGTGCATAAAAATGAAGGCATAACGAACGAAAAAATTGCAAAAGGTCTTGCATTTGGATTTAATACATAAAGTTCTTTCAAATGGGTGAAACTTGTATTTTTTAAGCCCCGTACAGACGGGCAAGTTCTCCTTGTCGATTTTTTTAACAAGTTTTACCAGCCCGCGCTATTTAAGTTTGTAAACAATATCATGATAATTTTCGTTCAAAGCTGCTCCCAACAAAATTAAAAACAGCTGAAACTGTCTGCGTTCCACACTTAAAGGTAAATTTCCAAAATTAACGAGATTAAATGGCAGTGGTCGATCGAAGATGATTGCGCAGTAACGTACTGCACAATTACTTGACAAGTTTTCTCTGACGGCCGTACACACGAACAATTTTTCATGTTCAGAAGCTGGCATGACTACATTTTGAACAAGGTTGCTTGTCAAGGAAAACTTGCTTTGGAATTTTCCCGTTTACAGGAACAAATAAAACTTGCCAAGGAAAACTTGTTCTCCTGTACGAGGCTTTATTCTCGATTATACTGTTATTTACTTAAACATTGTCACAACTGAGTTTGTGGATTGTTTTTGTATCGAAATTGACGTGAAATAATTTTGTAAATAACAAAATCATAACTTAATTTCCCCAGCGCTTATATAGTAATTGTATAGAATATATATTAATTTTAATAACATGAATAGCAAAGCTTGGAAAAACATAAAATGCACTGGTCAGACATTATGGACGTGTACTTTTAAGAACTCTAGAAAAATGAGAAACAGTTGGGTTTAATATAATCCAAGAATTCAATAATATCCAGTTTATATAGCATCAGCAAAATACCCAAAAGAAAAAATGTTATTTTTTATAGCGGTTAAGAATAATTTGATTACAATTTTACAATATTACAAACATTCATAGAAATAAACGTGGTCTTATAAATATTTTTAACCGGGTAGCAGTCGGACGAATTAAACAGGGTGTATTAAAGGATCTATCTAATTTTGGTACGGTATCCTGTGTTTGATATTAAGTTTATCGATTTTATTACTTTTCCAATGACAATATATAATTATGAAGATGAGTGCAAAACGAAACCTTTTTTTATCATTGCGATATTAAAGGTAGCGGCCCGTTTGAAAGGCCTGATTCCACGACGGCAAAATCCTTCGCGACAAATTGTCTGCACATGGACAGTACATGCAGATAAACTGAGGATCATATGCAACGCCATCCTCTTCATTTAATTTGTATGACGTGTACGTACTTTGTGTATAATGTAGATCCATAGGCGTACGAGACAAGGGCAGGGGGGGACAACTCCCCCCCCCAAATTTTCGAAAACCATGGAAATTCGGGCAAATGCTAGGAAAAATCAAGAAAATTCGCGCAGATTTATCACAAAATTTAAAATTCAGGTAATTTGGTTACAATCCAAAAAAATTCGGGCAAACTTTCAACTTCCCCCCTGCAAAGAGTCTGCTCCGTACGCCTATATGTATATCATCAAGAAACACAGGCACATCGATAAACTGACCCTAACCCATCTGACGCCTTGCGGGAATATTTTACGAGAAAGAAAAAAAATTTTTGTACGATGAGCGTTTTAACTGAACGTCGTAGCAGGGCTCCCCCTTGAAACGTTTTTCCCCGGATCTCGCGCAACCTCTCGGCGGCACTGGCTTTGTGTGTCATGACTCCACTATGAAATCACTTGCGGAAATTAAGGGAATTTATTTAAAATTAAGCAGCCGGTTATTTCGAAACATAAATACAAAGTTCTGCAAAGGCTTAAAATAAAGTGGGAATTATTTAGTACCCAAATAATAGACGAAGATCTATGGAGTAATGTATTGGCAATTAATATACAGATATGACCAACTCAACCTCAAATTTAAAGTCATTTCGTGCATATTTGGCAAGTACATTTCATATTGGCTTTGTTGTTTTCCCTTTTTTCACTATAATCAACCCTCTGCGTAGTTCAAAATAATTTACTAAACAAAATATAAACACTAAGAACGTCAAACGTGGACAGATGCCTGTCCTGCAAAGGATTGTAAAGTAATCGTTAATTAATTTGTACACAAAAAATGATTATCCAACATCCACTGGTCTCTAAAGAGTTTTTGAACTAAACACAATATATTGCTGTGGAATTAATTTGAAACGAGCAAAAATATATCAAACGGTTTGACCCAGGTACGGTAGGAAATTTTTTGCCTTACAACCATGTAGCACGTTGTGAGTCCCAATCCCTCTCTTGTTTGTTTTCAACACACAATCGAAATTCATTTTGGCGGTTTTGTGTTAATTGGAAAAACATGCTCGAGAAATCGGAAAC